GAGTTTACACACAATATTCACGGTGTTGTTATATCTGTTACTACTTGATATATAAGGAAATCATTTCATGGTGAGATGAAGCATGAGAATGAATCGAGAAACTCAGTCAAGAATTTTGAATTCCTGAGTTTTACGAAACAAAACCATGGGACAAAATCAGAAATTGAAATATTAACATATATACTATTTGAAAATTGCTCATCATGTCGAATATTTCCTAATTATTCACGATCGTTTCTAACGTTATTTTCAGATTTGAATCAATAATTTCTGCTTGATAGTTAACAAAACCGTGTTCCACTATGCAATAGCTTTTTCAGTGTTCAGTACTAACTCAATTTCTCTATTATGCTTTTTATAGATAATAGTGAATTGAATAAAAACGACTTCCATCATCTATGTAATACACGTTCACAATTTCTTATTGAATTCAATTAAAATAAATACTACCTGTGCCCCTTTTTGATCTGGTTGATATGTACCCGTATCACCAATTCCATCATGAAACTAGTAGTGATGCATGAAAACCACAAAAGCATTGAAAGCAAGAAGAGTTAATCCCAAACTTGAACTTTGAAATTTTGAACAAGGACCTATAAATATTATTGCTATAGTTTATGTATTCTACACAAATTACAACTTGTGACCCAGATTATAAATATTATTTCAACATCGAAGACTTTTGTCTGGATATATGTTTATTTGATTGCTCATTATAATGTTGAATGTTTCATTTGAATTCATATAATACAGTGGAAAATGAATATACACAATTTTTTAGAATCCATACATCATCAGTGGAAAAATATGTCATCAAGAACTGCATCGAAAAAATATTGATTTTACAATGTGAATTAAAAAAAGTGTGAACTCAAGAAATCAATAATGAGATCAAATCAAAAGCAGCAACAACCAAATATTCATATAGAAACGTGTGGACAATGAACGATGATGTCTTTGTGAATGATGGCGGTAGAAGAAGGAAAATAATTAAACGGAGTGATTTGAACTGAAACATAATGAGATTACACGATTAGGCGCGGTGACGCACAACACAACTGATCTGTTTTTTTCTTTTTGTATATACTAATAATCTTCTCGTAAATAATAAAAAAATACTCTTGTTACATTTATATATTTATAAACGTACAGATACACTATAGCCAAAATGAAAAATATAACTTGTTATTATCAGAATTTCAGGGGACTGAGAACAAAGTTGAATAATTTCAAATTAAGTACTGAAGGAGAAAACTATGATCTAATACTGGGGACAGAAACATGGTCGAATGAATCAATATACAGTTCTGAATTTATTAACTGTAACAGGTATGAGATAGTTAGATGCGATAAAAATCCGTATATAACGAATAAAGATAGGGGAGGAGGAGTTATGATAGGGGTAAGTGAAAAATTTAAAATTTCAGACTGGTAGAAAAAAGAAAGTGATTTCGACGCTCTGTATGTTAAAGTGAGGTTAACGTATAAATATTAGAATTCTATTTATGATTTAGACTGTATTGACATTTTTATAAGAATAATTATTTTCATGTAATGAGGTTTTTACCTGTTTGAAAATAAATAAATAAATGAATGAAATATCATACATCTTAGTTTTCGTTGCGAAGGTATTGAAAAAACGGAAATGAGTAAAAACTTTTGTTGTTGTCTTTTATTTTCCAACAAGGGTTCTCTTCCCTTATACCAGAACTGTCTCAGGGAGTTTAGTTCACATAAACGCAGTTCTCCAAATGGAAGAGTTCCTAAAACTGAAGTTTGAGGTGTGCTGACTTGAACCTCAAATCGATGAGCAGTGAAAGTCTGTCGCGTAGGTATTTCTGTTATGTACCGTTCTTGGTGGAATCGAATGTGCCTATTACTAGGACACCTTCCGTGAAAGTATCAAAAAAAAGTCCAACCTTTCTCCAATATTCCAGAATAGTGGGGTGTGTGTCTTCAATCAGGCGAATGGCTCTTTTCTGGATGGAATCCAGCAGCTTCAGAGTATGTTTAGGGGCGGAGCTCCATACACGTACATGAGAACAATACTTCAAAGAAAGTCTGATCTGAGCTTTATGAAGCTCTGAGTTGTATACAGTTACTGAGTTGTATACAGTTTTCTGGTTCGGAACAGTGTTCCAAGCTTTTGAGCCTCCACAATCCCAGCGACATGGCAAAAAGCAAAAGAGGAGGAGATGGTATTTACCTATTCAGAAATTCTAACTCAGGCTAGTATGAACTGGAATGAACTTCCGATTTCATTTACAAATATCATTGATATCTGAATCACAAATGAGCAGAAAATGTCTAGGATATTTTTTCGCTGATTTGAGGTAGTGGTTGTTTAAACCTTTGCTATTGAAATACTTTCGGGTGTATTCAGTAGTCTAGATTCTATATTCATCAAGTAATCATACTTCAAGGCATGTTGAATATTTTATGATTATAGGACTTCAGGTATATACACTTGATTTATATCTATATATTCCTTTCTACTAGACTGATAACGATACTACTTTTCGAAAGTTATACCCGTATTCCATATGTGAGTTCGAATCAGATGATATCTTGTATAAAAGTTTCATGATGAATTTTTATGAATACATTGAAGATATATATTTCATGTGTTTTACTATACAATAGCTGTTAAAAAAATCTGTTGAAAAATCTACCAAAATCATAATTTATTACGTAAACCTTGGCAACCTGATTCCACGAGACTATCATACAGAGAAATATAATTTGTGTGGCCCTATGTATGGAATGGGAAGACGATATTCTCTACTTCATGTACTTTCCTTTCAAACTATGTAAAGATGAAGTTCAAACTTCCAACACAAAAAAATATGTCGAGAGCAAAAACATTTGAATGAATGAAAACTTTAAACTAAATGCTGAAGATCTAAAAAAATATCAGTATGATTGTAAATAATTATTCCAATATTTGTTTTACCAGTCAACAACAAATTTCAAGTTATAACGCGGTTTTCAAAAATTAATCAATACATTTTATAATGAAGAAAGATCCCTGCTCCGAAAATCATTTCGAATAATTTTTTATCATTCATTGATATACTAATCAGCTCATAATGAATTAATCATTTCTCAGAAACATAATTCTTAAGGCGTCATGGGAGTGTTTTCAATTATCCTTGTTATCATCAGAAGTTACCAATTTTATATTTGCTCTTAATATTTCCATTTCTGTATTGAATACTGGAAACTAATTGAACTTTCGAAAAGAATTCACTCTTGTGGTTTTCGGAAAGTTGTAAAATTACCAAGAAATATTCCTGATAGTATCACGATATGATTTTCGAAATTATCTCAATTCTTGATAGCTCCTGAAAAATTTTAATGTTGAGTCCCGAACTGAAGTTCTCAAATCCTCCCATATGAATATTTGATCATGAACACAATACATTGAATATTATAGGAAGTTTAGAGAGTAGGTATATGAATATGATTACTTTTTTAATATTAATATCGTATAGTATACTGTCAATATCACCTATATCTACCAACTATTTATTTTTCATTGAAGTCACCATTTAATCAACATGGACATATCTGCTAGGAAAGTGTAAAGAATGAACGTGAAATAGACATTATTTATGATGAGCAGATGCAGGATTTCTATTTTATATTTGATAAATAAATATTTTTTTTGTATCAGATGGAGTAGTAGAAAGCCAAAAACTTTCTTTCCCAAAAAAATTAATCACTCCTAAAAATATAACCCCTTCAATTCATTATATTCATATTTTGAGTAGGCGTGTACTGAAATGTCAAGTATGATTTTTTGAGTCATCTCAAATTTGAAAAGAGAAATTGATAAAAAGAAGTGAATCGACTGAAAAATATCAACCTTGAACCAACATTTCAAATTATATAGATACCTTTTTTTTAAGTAGTAATACATCATCTTTATGAGAAATTACAGGCCCCTAATTTTTTGAATCATGGGAATACTACGTATTTCCGAGAGGATTTTTTTGATTCAATTTTCTATAATTCACCTTCAATTTCATTGTTTTCAGTTGGTTTGTATGCTATGGCCTGGCGATCTTATTTCAAACCAGACTGTCAAGCTCAAACGTACCAGTTCATATTCCGAAAACTGTAATTTGATGCATTAGTGATTTTTTGCATATGACGCCATTTTGATATTGTTTTTTCCTGATGAGTCACTTATAAAGTTGCATTACTATTCAACATTTCTTTGTAGTTCTTCTTTCTATATTTTGAAATGAGTAATAAAATTATTTATCTGAAAGTGCTCATTACGTTTTTATAATTTCTCAGCTACAAATATCTCAGCCTATATTATAACAGCAGTGAGGTTTCAGTGAAAAAAAAAGGCCAGGCCAAAAAATTCTCGTGACAAAAACATCTCGCCAAATAAAATCTCATGAAAAATTTCTTCAATTATACTTGCTCCTTTATATTGAGCGCATTGAGATGTATTTGTCTCTGAAGTTTTTCACTGGGATGTTTTTGGCTGATAAATTATTATACTACCACTGTTACTTTCTGAATCAATAATAACTTGAGTTCAGTTACTTGGGTTCATTAAGGTGAGTTTAGGACATTCCTGTCGATTCGTATTTATTTCGTACATCACTGGATTTGAAAAGCACAAAGAACAATTTTTCATTCTCAATAGAATTGACAAGTTGAAATTATGTTATGATGATATATTTATAATTTATTTCGTACATCACTGGATTTGAAAAGCACAAAGAACAATTTTTCATTCTCAATAGAATTGACAAGTTGAAATTATGTTATGATGATATATATATTTCATTTGCTGTTTTGATATTTTTTACAAATAATTCAAATCGATACTTTTTGTCATGTTCATTTGATGATAAATCAATTAGCTGGGTCATACATCCGATTCAATTTCAAAAAATAGTTTTGGGAAGTATGCACACCATCATTATATATAATATCATCAGAAGTGATTACGCTCGAATTGATATCAAATGATTTACCTGTTTCTTTCGGCATCGTCCTAATTATTCCAGTAATACTAATGAAATAGTTGAACTGTCAACCACTACGAATTAGAACAGTAGGCAAACTACGGTACTGAATGAATCAAGGTATGATCTTTCCACCTGACTTTTTACGATGGTTAATCAAGATTCGGGAAATTCAGCCAATAGCGAGTGAGCGAATGCAGAGTTCGCAAAACAGTTAGATCAAGGTAACTGCCGAATCACGGGCTCTGTAATATTGTTTACGAGTTGATTTTCATGCACTGATGTTTCATGAAACATATAGCATTCCTATTATCAAATAAATCTTCATTGTGAATTGTTCACCAGATATAAGGTGGTTTACAAATGGAAATTCATGAGATTGATTTGATTAATTTTATAATTTTACCGGGGCTAGGTACTCACTATACGCTAAGAGAGATCTCAATTTATGATATGGTTCAGGCGGAATCACAATACTTCATATCGCAAACAATCCGCAAAATGATTCTAAGAGCCTTCCGATCCGTTTTATTTCATTGGCGTGCGTTTGAGTATCTAATTGAAAATGTTAATGAAATGTGGAAAATTATTGTTATTACATTTTTATTCGAAATATCAACACAATAATAAACATATTAAAAGATATTGGGCATGAGTAAAAATTATCATGTGGTATCATCAGATGATTCAATGAATTTTCGTCCAATATAATGATTGAAGGTTCTACAATTTTCTCGGCTGAATAGTCTAATTTCCACATGTTGTCCTCTTTTTTTATAACATGTTCAATATTTTCGCCATTTCCATAATTGATGTTTTTCCGAAACTTCATGGAGACTATTTTGAAAATATTCCATTCCAAATGTCGTTTATTCTTGCAAAAAACTCTTCACTTGAGCTCATACGAATGAAATGAAATATTAAGTTCCCAGTGATGAAGAGGCATATACATACTATTGCGTTTCTGTGCCATCTTTCGACTATTCATTTCATAAAATGAGCCGTACTTGATTAAACTATGTACAATACTTTTTTTTAACCATACTTGCATCAAGTGATATGTTCATTTGACGCAGTCACTCGATTTTTCCAACTTCTATGGCATGGATCACCCATTACATTCACAGAGTTAGATGAAATGAGGTATAACATTTGCCCAAAATTTGTCTTCATCAGAATACTTCACCTCCAAAATTAACAACGAACTGCTCCCAATAAAACAATCAACATTTTCACTCTGAGTAATAATCAGTCGGTTTCTTTCATCAGAACGTAACTTCATTCCAAAAGACCAGCCTTCTAAAAATGCTCGACGAGAACTATATAACGTTCTTGTCTTGCCACATCTTTACCACTGTATCAACTTCGTTGAGTCAAGTTTTATCCAAGTAATGAATATTTCTATTCTCACGTCGAAATTCTATCATCTGTCTTGAAAGGTTTCTCCTTCAGCTGATGATTCTATCATTTTCGATAAAGAATAATTTTCTGTTTCGTCTTACCTAAATGAATTTGAATTCTTGTGATGATTTCTACAATGTTTGTCTTACCATTGGAGACATACTCTCCTCTTTGTCCAAGGCAGCAATTATTTTGTTGGGGGTCGGTATTTCTTCTTTGAAATAGAATGAATGAACTGTTCTTTTGAAATTTGTATAGATTTCATCTGCAGGCACAGTTTTTTCTCCTAAAGATGGTTTTGATGAATTCACAGTTTCAATTTTTTTCTCATTCTTGAATTTATATTTGGATGATTTTGAGACACTCCTCATTTGCGAACACATTTCCACAAAAGTATTAACAGTATACGAAAGATACCGGTGCATGAGAGTATAATATGATTTGAAGAATATGGTCTTTCCATAAACAGAGAAAGTACATGTGCTCATTCGTTTCACTGAAAATAGAAATCAAGTAATCTTTTCAATTCACATACTGAGTATAATTTACTCATAACAGTACTGATTAAGATGCAAGGGATTCATCAGTGATGAATATTCTTCAGGTACTGAAGTATCTATTCAAAGCACTATCGAATCGGACACAATCACAACGTCATCGTTTTTTACAGCAGAAATTGGATCCTTATCAAGTATGCCTGATCGATCAGGCGAGCTGCGCAATTATGTGGTTTATCAAAAAATGCTTTCATAGAAAATATTGCTAATTTCAAAAGACATCCTGAAGATAAGACAATTTTGGATGAAAAATTGTAAAGAAATCTAAATATTATTATCACCGTTTACATACTACAACAAAAAGATTTTTTGATATTTGTTATATCCACTCATACAAAAACACTGACTGTTTGAAATAAATACTCAGTAAATTTCTCACTTTTTGACTGTCTAAATTCCGTATGCCTTTGAAATAAGTACTTGAAAATGATTCATCACTCCTCTGCTTAGGAAAAAATCTTTATCCAAAATGGTAAAGATTTGAAAATTTGTTAGGATTGTAGTGGTGATTTGAGTAAAATTTTGAAAATCATCCATCATAATAACTTGGTTACCCTTTTCAGCACATATAGTAGACTTCTCATTAAAAATCAAGAATCGACCAGTGTCGCTGCCTCCGCAAATCAAAAGCTAGCCATTCCAACTGGGCTATTCCAACTTGAAAACTGAAACCTTCAGCTGTGTAATACATTTTTGACAAAAATAACTATATTTGTTGAAAATTCATTGAAATTAAAGTCAATCTGAACAAGTAGGAAAGTGCATTCGGGAATGTGCCTGGTGGATAAATTTCGCAGGTTTTCACAATGATATTCATATATCCTGTCTTTATTGTGCGAAGCGAAATGAGCGGATCTATATTATTACAGAGAATCAAGCACTAATGGACCCGAAAATGGCATTGAAACTGGTTAGGAAACTGAGTAAACTGACGGACAAGAACTGATTGACGATATACTGAGTGCCAGGAGTTTCAGACACTGTAACTTGATAAGTAAGCTCCATATTATTGTTATTTTTCATGCGAATTTGAGACACTGTAACACAAAAAAAAACAATTCATGTCTAAAAGAATATGAAATATATCCAGCAAAAGACCGATGAGGAAAGTACAGGGTCCAAGATTTTTGGAATGTGTATCATGCATTATTTCTTTCAGATGTTTTCCAAGTAGCAGGTAGAAAAAAACATTATTTTTTCACTTCATTTTACTGCGAGAGATATCTGCAACTATTGTATTTTTGTTCAACACCTCTTGTTTTTTTTCCAATTCCTCGTGTGAAATTTATCAGTGCTTTCTTCTAGAGTCAGGGCAGTTTTTGTTGTTGGGGGTATTCATGCTTCCCACTAGAAGCGAAAGCTTGGCAAAGTAAAGCAGAGTTTTTGATTTTTTATTTTTTGACTTTTTTTTCACAATGATCTAGACAATATTCCGGATCGAATGAGCCTAACCACTTAATTTTTCTAATAGTATGTTCTTTCAACACGAATCTAAACTTATAGCCTAGTCTAGTATTTCGATATGTATAGTTTGTGAAGAAAAACGTAAGAAAACACTGCTGAATTTCCGAAGGACACAGCTGAATTTCTTATTACAGTGAATACAAAAATTGACGGAAAAAACTAATGATTCGTATTTGAAAAATTGAAGTTGATGGTGAAATATATTGAACGAAACGTCGCATCGAAAATTGATTGATATCAGGTTATTTCAAGTATAAAATTGTATTGGAATTTCTTCTGCTCGTTTTATATCATTCTAAATGGAGGCAGTACAGCCAAGAAAGGAAATTCAGAAATTCTACTTCTAGTCGAATATTTCGAGAACAGAAACTAATATTCTTGATTCGGAAAGAGACTATTCCAGTTCCCCAAAACAGAAAATTTTTGAACGATTTAACCCATTTTATAGGCTGTACTGTTTCCGAGAGAGCAATAGTGGGATCACCGTTTGTTTGAACGTGATTGACAATGTTTCATGATGAATTCCATGAGTTCGAATTTCCATTGTCTGATATAATATAAAAATGATTTCTGAAAGAACTAATAAGGAAAGGAAGAATCATAAATGAATAGCTGAAAAATAACAATTATATTAAGCAAAAAACCTGAAAAATTGAAAGTTGGGAGATTCGAAACCAAGTTACTTCACGACATTTCGATTTTTAAAATCCACAGTCATCACCCGAAGACGATTGTGAATATTAACAATCGAAACGTCGTGAAGTGACTTGGTTTGAAATCTCTCAAATTTTTATTTTTATTTTTGTTCAATTGGTGTATTTTTACTTATATTTTAACTATTATTTCATTTCATGTGTTTTTGCTTAGTATAATTGTTATTTTCCAGCTATCCGTTTTTATTTCTTCCTTTTTTATTTTTTCTTCCAGGGATTTTACATCAGACAATAGAAGTCCGAACTAATGAAATTCAATAGTGGAATCTGTTTGAAAAAAATCTGTTCAAAATCTGTTTTTCCGTTAATCAGCTGTCACCCCCATACGAACGACAACTCTCAAAAATTGAGAAACTTGTGCGAGCTAAGGACTAACGAGGTCTTACCTTTTAACGTTTCATTCCTAACACGGATCAGCTGATGAAACGGCCTGTATGTTAACTAGTACCTACAATGACTGGAAAAAATCAACAGATTATTTTTCATATCGAGTTATTAATATATGAGATATTTTGCTTTTGAAAAAAAAAACATTTCTGAAAAAAAACATCGATATATTGATGATATTTGATGAATATCTATATTTTTGATGCCAAAAGTGAATCATATCTATCAACGGAACACATTTATTCATTCAGCAATCCGAAATATAGCGAACAGTAAATATATCAAAAATAGAGCTTTCATCAATTATGTTTAGTTCTGTAGAGCCGGCATGATTTGATCAAGACAAACATCCTGCATTCTTTCTTTTCTTCCGGATATGATACTGATAATAAGAATGTATTATTTAATTGTACCAAATGATTTGCTGCGAGTCATTTTCCTTTACGAGTATCAATAAATTGATACTGAACGGTAAATTAATATGAAAGACATAGAAAAAAATTGTCCGCTTTCAAGAATAAAAAACAAGGCCAAAGAACATCATAAAAAGCGGAAGGTCAATGTTACGTATCAGTGATCTCCGAAAATGCTTCGATTGAAGAGTGATTCATTAATTATATGATCAAACGAACACAACTGAAGT